CAAAGTGGCCAAAAGAGGGCTCCTATCAAAACTATACGCAAGTTAAGTTTGTTTCAGAGACGGAACAGTTATCATGGTTATGCACAAAGGTGGTCCAAACATCAATGATACTAAAACTTTTTCAGCGTTAGTTTCAAGGCAATTATAACTTCCAGACTGGTCTAAGAAGTTGGTCTGGTGGCTCTTATTGGAACCGGGCACGTAATATGGCAAATACGGTAAAAGTCCATATGTTACCACTAAAATCTACTCACGTGACAAGTTCAGGCAAATAGACTCAATACTTTATGTCACAGTTTGATTAAAGCTAGGTAAGTTTCTTAGCATTTCAACTTATCTCCCTTAAACAAACCAATTAATGGTAAAGTATCTGTGTATGCAAATGTTGGGACACTATATCTCCAGACACAGCTGGATTAAATGGACTCTATTGGTTGAAACAACCGCCTGATAAACAGCTGAGACTTTAATCAGCGGAAATCAGAAGAATAAGCAACTTTATTTGAGCCCCTGACTGTGCATTTAGTTGCGGAGTCTTCTCATCACTGTGGTTGAGGCGAGGCTACAGTACATCAAATACCACCGTGTTCACCTCCACTCTGGGGATCAGGGGTATTTGTGGAAGAGCTCATTGCCTTTGCCTGATCAAGCACATGAATGTTTAATGAGCGTGACCTTACCTTGGCTGGTGGAATCCCCATTGCAGGATTCATATAGCACTTTACAGAGTGATACGTGACCACAACATGTAAAGTGACTAGTTGTAGGTGCTTGCTACCTGATTTAAATCTGTAACACTGTATAACATGGACACTTGCAATACTACCTGATTTAAATCTGTAACACTGTATAACATGGACACTTGCAATACTACCTGATTTAAATCTGTAACACTGTATAACATGGACACTTGCAATACTACCTGATTTAAATCTGTAATACTGTATAACATGGACGCTTGCAATACTACCTGATAGAAATCTGTAACACTGTATAACATGGATGTTTGGAATACTACCTGATAGAAATCTGTAACACTGTATAACATGGACACTTGCAATACTACCTGATTTAAATCTGTAACACTGTATAACATGGACACTTGCAATACTACCTGATTTAAATCTGTAATACTGTATAACATGGACGCTTGCAATACTACCTGATTTAAATCTGTAACACTGTATAACATGGGCGCTTGCAATACTACCTGATAGAAATCTGTAACACTGTATAACATGGATGTTTGGAATACTACCTGATAGAAATCTGTAACACTGTATAACATGGACACTTGCAATACTACCTGATTTAAATCTGTAACACTGTATAACATGGACGCTTGCAATACTACCTGATAGAAATCTGTAACACTGTATAACATGGATGTTTGGAATACTACCTGATAGAAATCTGTAACACTGTATAACATGGACACTTGCAATACTACCTGATTTAAATCTGTAACACTGTATAACATGGACACTTGCAATACTACCTGATTTAAATCTGTAACACTGTATAACATGGACACTTGCAATACTACCTGATTTAAATCTGTAATACTGTATAACATGGACGCTTGCAATACTACCTGATTTAAATCTGTAACACTGTATAACATGGACGCTTGCAATACTACCTGATTTAAATCTGTAACACTGTATAACATGGACGCTTGCAATACTACCTGATTTAAATCTGTAACACTGTATAACATGGGCGCTTGCAGTACTACCTGATTGAAAATTGTAACACTGTATAACATGGACACTTGCAATACTACCTGATTGAAAATTGTAACACTGTATAACATGGACACTTGTAATACTACCTGATTTAAATCTGTAACACTGTATAACATGGATGTTTGGAATACTACCTGATAGAAATCTGTAACACTGTATAACATGGACACTTGCAATACTACCTGATTTAAATCTGTAACACTGTATAACATGGACACTTGCAATACTACCTGATTTAAATCTGTAATACTGTATAACATGGACACTTGCAATACTACCTGATAGAAATCTGTAACACTGTATAACATGGACGCTTGCAATACTACCTGATAGAAATCTGTAACACTGTATAACATGGACGCTTGCAATACTACCTGATAGAAATCTGTAACACTGTATAACATGGACACTTGCAATACTACCTGATTTAAATCTGTAACACTGTATAACATGGACGCTTGCAATACTACCTGATTTAAATCTGTAACACTGTATAACATGGACGCTTGCAATACTACCTGATTTAAATCTGTAATACTGTATAACATGGACGCTTGCAATACTACCTGATTTAAATCTGTAACACTGTATAACATGGACGCTTGCAATACTACCTGATTTAAATCTGTAACACTGTATAACATGGACACTTGCAATACTACCTGATTGAAATCTGTAACACTATAACATGGACGCTTGCAATACTACCTGCTTGAAATCTGTAACACTGTATAACATGGACGCTTGCAATACTACCTGATAGAAATCTGTAACACTGTATAACATGGACGCTTGCAGTACTACCTGATTTAAATCTGTAACACAGTATAACATGGACGCTTGCAGTACTACCTGATTTAAATCTGTAACACTGTATAACATGGACGCTTGCAATACTACCTGATAGAAATCTGTAACACTGTATAACATGGACACTTGCAATACTACCTGATTTAAATCTGTAACACTGTATAACATGGACGCTTGCAATACTACCTGATAGAAATCTGTAACACTGTATAACATGGACGCTTGCAATACTACCTGATAGAAATCTGTAACACTGTATAACATGGACACTTGCAATACTACCTGATTTAAATCTGTAATACTGTATAACATGGACACTTGCAATACTACCTGATAGAAATCTGTAACACTGTATAACATGGACGCTTGCAATACTACCTGATAGAAATCTGTAACACTGTATAACATGGACGCTTGCAATACTACCTGATAGAAATCTGTAACACTGTATAACATGGACACTTGCAATACTACCTGATTTAAATCTGTAACACTGTATAACATGGACGCTTGCAATACTACCTGATTTAAATCTGTAACACTGTATAACATGGACGCTTGCAATACTACCTGATTGAAATCTGTAATACTGTATAACATGGACGCTTGCAATACTACCTGATTTAAATCTGTAACACTGTATAACATGGACGCTTGCAATACTACCTGATTTAAATCTGTAACACTGTATAACATGGACACTTGCAATACTACCTGATTGAAATCTGTAACACTATAACATGGACGCTTGCAATACTACCTGCTTGAAATCTGTAACACTGTATAACATGGACGCTTGCAATACTACCTGATAGAAATCTGTAACACTGTATAACATGGACGCTTGCAATACTACCTGATTTAAATCTGTAACACTGTATAACATGGACGCTTGCAATACTACCTGATTGAAATCTGTAATACTGTATAACATGGACGCTTGCAATACTACCTGATTTAAATCTGTAACACTGTATAACATGGACGCTTGCAATACTACCTGATTTAAATCTGTAACACTGTATAACATGGACACTTGCAATACTACCTGATTGAAATCTGTAACACTATAACATGGACGCTTGCAATACTACCTGCTTGAAATCTGTAACACTGTATAACATGGACGCTTGCAATACTACCTGATAGAAATCTGTAACACTGTATAACATGGACGCTTGCAGTACTACCTGATTTAAATCTGTAACACAGTATAACATGGACGCTTGCAGTACTACCTGATTTAAATCTGTAACACTGTATAACATGGACGCTTGCAATACTACCTGATAGAAATCTGTAACACTGTATAACATGGACACTTGCAATACTACCTGATTTAAATCTGTAACACTGTATAACATGGACGCTTGCAATACTACCTGATAGAAATCTGTAACACTGTATAACATGGACGCTTGCAATACTACCTGATAGAAATCTGTAACACTGTATAACATGGACACTTGCAATACTACCTGATTTAAATCTGTAACACTGTCATCAGTTGAAGTCATCAAATACTTAATTGTTTAAATATGGAGATATTTGGGTTACATAATCTGTCTGTGGAATTCTGAGTCAGCCCTACGACTCAGGAGACTAATTGGAGCATGGTTGATGGTGTGGACTATTAGGCCTGGTAGGTACGGATGGTTCAAGCCAAACGCATTGAGGACTATCTCTTTTGTCATTTGGCATTGTTTAGGTAATTGGAGATAAAAAAGTGTCTTGTAGAGCCAAAATATGTTCAACATCAAGATCGTCGGACCACAATTTCCTTGATTGTGTCCGCATCCCATCTACTAAGTTTAGACAGGACCAGTTGCCTGTCATATGACGCAGCTAGTTCAAGGCTTTACCGCTTACAAAACACAGAAGACTTACAGAAACAAATATTTTATTCTCTTTTGATTAGGTATGCAACTTTTGGTTGAGCTGTTATTCTGATGACCAGCCATGTAGAGCTGTTCATCATGTACACAATGTTGTTTGTGTATGATGTTGAATAGTTGCTGTATTTATTTTGTGTACAATTTTGAACAAATATATTATATGATGATTACATGTATAATGATGTATTTGGTGTCATATACAATTGTGTATACAATGCAGTGTATAAAATTCCTATTCCAGTCAGACTGGCAACATTGCAAAGTTACCAGACCATATAAAATGTTGCCAGTCCAGAATTTTCTAGGCTAATGAAAAAAATTAACAAAACGGTAAACATTAGAATAGTACATAAGAAATTAACAATAAACCGGTGGATTGTCAACTTAGCAACTTTAACCCCCGACCATCAGGCGCGCAACTTTTGCAATCTGTAAGGAACATTGACCGTCTCGGACTGTCAGGTAATTAAAACTCTGATACATGGTATATGCAGTGGTGTATTTATGAGTATTTGTATTATTTTTGACATGATGTTGCCTTTTCCAGACTGCCTGTTCCGGATATGTCCCATGAGCCGCTACTCTGCCCAGAAGCAGTACTGGGAAGCCCAGCGCCAGTCATCCACCGACCCAATCCTGCTGGAGAGACTCCATGTAAGTCACAGACAGTCTCCACACATCCCACTCCACCACTGACACAGTCAGTCTCCACACATCCCACTCCACCACTGACACAGACAGTCTCCACACATCCCACTCCACCACAGACAGTCTCCACACATCCCACTCCACCACTGACACAGTCAGTCTCCACACATCCCACTCCACCACAGACAGTCTCCACACATCCCACTCCACCACTGACACAGTCAGTCTCCACACATCCCACTCCACCACAGACAGTCTCCACACATCCCACTCCACCACTGACACAGTCAGTCTCCACACATCCCACTCCACCACAGACAGTCTCCACACATCCCACTCCACCACTGACACAGTCAGTCTCCACACTTCCCACTCCACCACTGACACAGTCAGTCTCCACACATCCCACTCCACCACAGACAGTCTCCACACATCCCACTCCACCACTGACACAGTCAGTCTCCACACATCCCACTCCACCACAGACAGTCTCCACACATCCCACTCCACCACTGACACAGTCAGTCTCCACACGTCCCACTCCACCACTGACACAGTCAGTCTCCACACATCCCACTCCACCACTGACACAGACAGTCTCCACACATCCCACTCCACCACTGACACAGACAGTCTCCACACATCCCACTCCACCACTGACACAGACAGTCTCCACACATCCCACTCCACCACTGACAGTCTCCACACATCCCACTCCACCACTGACACAGTCAGTCTCCACATATCCCACTCCACCACTGACACAGTCAGTCTCCACACATCCCACTCCACCACTGACACAGTCAGTCTCCACACATCCCACTCCACCACTGACAGTCTCCACACATCCCACTCCACCACTGACACAGTCAGTCTCCACACATCCCACTCCACCACTGACACAGTCAGTCTCCACACATCCCACTCCACCACTGACACAGTCGGTCTCCACACATCCCACTCCACCACTGACACAGTCAGTCTCCACACATCCCACTCCACCACTGACACAGTCAGTCTCCACACATCCCACTCCACCACTGACACAGTCAGTCTCCACACATCCCACTCCACCACTGACACAGACAGTCTCCACACATCCCATTCCACCACTGACACAGACAGTCTCCACACATCCCACTCCACCACTGACACAGACAGTCTCCACACATCCCACTCCACCACTGACACAGTCGGTCTCCACACATCCCACTCCACCACTGACACAGTCAGTCTCCACACATCCCACTCCACCACTGACACAGTCAGTCTCCACACATCCCACTCCACCACTGACACAGTCAGTCTCCACACATCCTACCTCCACTGACACAGTCAGTTTCCACACATCCCACTCCACCACTGACAGTCTCCACACATCCCACTCCACCACTGACACAGTCGGTCTCCACACATCCCACTCAACCACTGACACAGTCAGTCTCCACACATCCCACTCCACCACTGACACAGTCAGTCTCCACACATCCCACTCCACCACTGACAGTCTCCACACATCCCACTCCACCACTGACACAGTCAGTCTCCACACATCCCACTCCACCACTGACACAGTCAGTCTCCACACATCCCACTCCACCACTGACACAGTCAGTCTCCACACATCCCCACTCCACCACTGACACAGTCAGTCTCCACACATCCCACTCCACCACTGACACAGTCAGTCTCCACACATCCCACTCCACCACTGACACAGTCAGTCTCCACACATCCCACTCCACCACTGACACTGACAGTCTCCACACATCCCACTCCACCACTGACACAGTCAGTCTCCACACATCCCACTCCACCACTGACAGTCTCCACACATCCCACTCCACCACTGACACAGACAGTCTCCACACATCCCACTCCACCACTGACACTGACAGTCTCCACACATCCCACTCCACCTCTGACACAGACAGTCTCCACACATCCCACTCCACCACTGACACAGACAGTCTCCACACATCCCACTCCACCACTAACACAGTCAGTCTCCACACATCCCACTCCACCACTGACACAGTCAGTCTCCACACATCCCACTCCACCACTGACAGTCTCCACACATCCCACTCCACCACTGACACAGTCAGTCTCCACACATCCCACTCCACCACTGACACAGACAGTCTCCACACATCCCACTCCACCACTGACAGTCTCCACACATCCCACTCCACCACTGACACAGTCAGTCTCCACATATCCCACTCCACCACTGACACAGTCAGTCTCCACACATCCCACTCCACCACTGACACAGTCAGTCTCCACACATCCCACTCCACCACTGACAGTCTCCACACATCCCACTCCACCACTGACACAGTCAGTCTCCACACATCCCACTCCACCACTGACACAGTCAGTCTCCACACATCCCACTCCACCACTGACACAGTCGGTCTCCACACATCCCACTCCACCACTGACACAGTCAGTCTCCACACATCCCACTCCACCACTGACACAGTCAGTCTCCACACATCCCACTCCACCACTGACACAGTCAGTCTCCACACATCCCACTCCACCACTGACACAGACAGTCTCCACACATCCCATTCCACCACTGACACAGACAGTCTCCACACATCCCACTCCACCACTGACACAGACAGTCTCCACACATCCCACTCCACCACTGACACAGTCGGTCTCCACACATCCCACTCCACCACTGACACAGTCAGTCTCCACACATCCCACTCCACCACTGACACAGTCAGTCTCCACACATCCCACTCCACCACTGACACAGTCAGTCTCCACACATCCTACCTCCACTGACACAGTCAGTTTCCACACATCCCACTCCACCACTGACAGTCTCCACACATCCCACTCCACCACTGACACAGTCGGTCTCCACACATCCCACTCAACCACTGACACAGTCAGTCTCCACACATCCCACTCCACCACTGACACAGTCAGTCTCCACACATCCCACTCCACCACTGACAGTCTCCACACATCCCACTCCACCACTGACACAGTCAGTCTCCACACATCCCACTCCACCACTGACACAGTCAGTCTCCACACATCCCACTCCACCACTGACACAGTCAGTCTCCACACATCCCCACTCCACCACTGACACAGTCAGTCTCCACACATCCCACTCCACCACTGACACAGTCAGTCTCCACACATCCCACTCCACCACTGACACAGTCAGTCTCCACACATCCCACTCCACCACTGACACTGACAGTCTCCACACATCCCACTCCACCACTGACACAGTCAGTCTCCACACATCCCACTCCACCACTGACAGTCTCCACACATCCCACTCCACCACTGACACAGACAGTCTCCACACATCCCACTCCACCACTGACACTGACAGTCTCCACACATCCCACTCCACCTCTGACACAGACAGTCTCCACACATCCCACTCCACCACTGACACAGACAGTCTCCACACATCCCACTCCACCACTAACACAGTCAGTCTCCACACATCCCACTCCACCACTGACACAGTCAGTCTCCACACATCCCACTCCACCACTGACAGTCTCCACACATCCCACTCCACCACTGACACAGTCAGTCTCCACACATCCCACTCCACCACTGACACAGTCAGTCTCCACACATCCCCACTCCACCACTGACACAGTCAGTCTCCACACATCCCACTCCACCACTGACACAGTCAGTCTCCACACATCCCACTCCACCACTGACACAGTCAGTCTCCACACATCCCACTCCACCACTGACACTGACAGTCTCCACACATCCCACTCCACCACTGACACAGTCAGTCTCCACACATCCCACTCCACCACTGACAGTCTCCACACATCCCACTCCACCACTGACACAGACAGTCTCCACACATCCCACTCCACCACTGACACTGACAGTCTCCACACATCCCACTCCACCTCTGACACAGACAGTCTCCACACATCCCACTCCACCACTGACACAGACAGTCTCCACACATCCCACTCCACCACTAACACAGTCAGTCTCCACACATCCCACTCCACCACTGACACAGTCAGTCTCCACACATCCCACTCCACCACTGACAGTCTCCACACATCCCACTCCACCACTGACACAGTCAGTCTCCACAAATCCCACTCCACCACTGACACAGTCAGTCTCCACACATCCCACTCCACCACTGACACAGTCAGTCTCCACACATCCTACCTCCACTGACACAGTCAGTTTCCACACATCCCACTCCACCACTGACAGTCTCCACACATCCCACTCCACCACTGACACAGTCGGTCTCCACACATCCCACTCAACCACTGACACAGTCAGTCTCCACACATCCCACTCCACCACTGACACAGTCAGTCTCCACACATCCCACTCCACCACTGACAGTCTCCACACATCCCACTCCACCACTGACACAGTCAGTCTCCACACATCCCACTCCACCACTGACACAGTCAGTCTCCACACATCCCACTCCACCACTGACACAGTCAGTCTCCACACATCCCCACTCCACCACTGACACAGTCAGTCTCCACACATCCCACTCCACCACTGACACAGTCAGTCTCCACACATCCCACTCCACCACTGACACAGTCAGTCTCCACACATCCCACTCCACCACTGACACTGACAGTCTCCACACATCCCACTCCACCACTGACACAGTCAGTCTCCACACATCCCACTCCACCACTGACAGTCTCCACACATCCCACTCCACCACTGACACAGACAGTCTCCACACATCCCACTCCACCACTGACACTGACAGTCTCCACACATCCCACTCCACCTCTGACACAGACAGTCTCCACACATCCCACTCCACCACTGACACAGACAGTCTCCACACATCCCACTCCACCACTAACACAGTCAGTCTCCACACATCCCACTCCACCACTGACACAGTCAGTCTCCACACATCCCACTCCACCACTGACAGTCTCCACACATCCCACTCCACCACTGACACAGTCAGTCTCCACACATCCCACTCC